CCACCAGATGACACAAAGTCAACGCAAATCGACGACCAACATCCAACAGCTGAATAAAATCTCATCATCCCGACATCAATAACAAACACGAAATAGATATCATAACAATGATTAATCAATAGCGACAATATCAATTAAACAATAATACCAACGATCGAACAATGAATGAAGTCGAACAAAACGAATCAACAAAAGTACCTGTGCATCCGAGAAGGAATTCGCCCAATCGAGTACTAAACGCAACACAAAAATCCACGCTTGTCTATGTTGTTCTGAATTCAAATCCACATAGTACCTAATCGCTTCATCAAGTACTCTAAAAAAGAAACTTCAAGATAATATGAACCGCAATTAATTCAATTTCTACACAACACACATCGATGTATATGAACCATAAACGGCGTACACTTCGAACAGCCAATATAAAATCATATTCAACACAAATTTCACACCACAGACTGCGTTCATTACAAATTTCTGAATGCACTCATCGAGAATCGAAGTAGAAAAATGCGAAACTCAGCACACACACACACCTGATCAAACGTTCACGAATATCCGACTTCTGCTGTTCGTCTGTGCGGTCAACATCGGTGTATATCCGAAACAGAATGCACAGCGCTGATCGCAAACTGTGCGTTTCTTGACGGAGTAGGTTCGGTTTACTTCTACCTGGAATGAATATTTCCAATTCTATGAGATCTATCAATGTTTTCTCATGAACACTCGTCCTTATTCACCAATCATATGAAGATTACTTATCATCCTTATTCATCATATCGTAAAAATTCGAAGAGATTACTGAAGAAAACGCACAAACCAATAAATCAATTAAAGCACTATGCAAACTCGCAAAAACGTTAACCTGATATCATTTCTACACAAGATTTGTGGATGAACACTCAATTTTTTTTAAAAACACGAAAACGAATCTGAAAACATGAAAGTGATACCTTTGAAACCGGCTTTCCAAAGCAGTGTGCGTTGTGCGTTATTACCATTGAACTGCTTCGCTAGCGAATGTGAATCCAATAAACAGTCAACCAAACTCAACAACTGCTTCACATCTGCAAACAAAAAAACAAACCTTACAGAATCAACAAACCAAACATAACGTAGAGACCAAAAAGACCTAAAATCTTTAACCAAAAATGTTTAACTGATTATCATTAACTTCGACAGATTTTCAACAACCAAAGTATAAAAGCTGATGATAATTTTCCAAAAATCCGCTTACACTAAAATGCAAAAAAGCACAAAAATAACTCCTCGATTCGATTCAATCAAAATACCAACTCTTGCTAACCGATCGCTCAACAAAATCATAAAACTCACCCATACGCGAATAAAGACCATCGATAGTGCTGTCGGCATTGTCCGAATAATCATTAATGCCGTACGATGACTCATTATTATTATTATTAGTGTTATTTTGCACGCTCGAAGAACCATTCAAAATGGCATTTCGTTGCGGTGATACCGTTTGCAAATTCATTGTTGATGAAGCACTCAACGACGGTAATGCAGTTATATCTTCCTAAATACCAAATAACACACATTACATCATCAAAATCTATCGCAACCTAAACATATCANGGTAATGCAGTTATATCTTCCTAAATACCAAATAACACACATTACATCATCAAAATCTATCGCAACCTAAACATATCACTCCCTGTTCAGTTCTGAGGCCGGAATATACGACTGCACACCGAATTTGAAGCAAATAAAATCAATTGATACTGTTACTTGAGTAAACGTTCAGACTCTGGAATGTCTTATTCTCACCTCCTGATGAAAAAATTCTGAACAGTCCAAACTTTTAGGTAGCTGAAGTGAGAAAAGAGGATGAAAACGGAACGAAAACCAAAAAACAAACATTCCGTGATGCAGATCGTCCGAACACAATACTATTAACAGCATCGACCAGTTCCAACTGTACCATACAACGCACCAATAGTGACGAGAATATTGCATCACTGTTACTAAAACAAAAAATATATCCATTCATGCATTCATCCTTTTTCAGCTTGAAAGATAAGATGCGACAGAACGAACGCACGAACAGAAAAATTAAAACTCTTAAAAATTTCACAACGATTTCCAAATAAACAGCTGAAAGTACGGAGAATGCTAAAATTTTAAAAATTCCGAAATCATCTAAAATCCGCCAACCTTGCCGTTATTTGTGTGATATACGGTGGTGCAGACTCATTATTGATTTGGTCGTTGGTGGAGAGATTCTCAATGCTATCGCTATTCGTGTTACCATTTTGCAGTGGTATTGATGTGATGATTGCGTTCGGCTCCCATGTTAACAAGCTGCANATGAATGAATGTGTTCGCCAATTAGAGCAATGAATATCCACACGAAATAAATTCGATAATCGAATGAGAACATAATGGAATAAAATGCAAATGAGAAAAGAAGACACTCACGAATGCGGAAGCGTGGATTTGAAGATATTCACTATCAATGTGACCGTTTCCTCCCACATTTTCGGCGTGAATCGTGACCCATTCAACAACAACAAATTCTCGATACAATTTATTGCTGATCGTGCCAATTGTTCATTTTCTTCAAAGTTTATGGATAAAATAAATTTCAAGCAAACAAAAAATACAATGAATAAAATCTAAGCAACTCAATTGGACTAGTGCAAATAATGAAAATGAAATCCAACTCAAATATAATACCAACCTTGTTGTGCACACCAATATAATTGGTCATATATATTTGTAAGTAGAATATTCGACAAGACTGGATAGTACTGTGTGAACACGTCCACAACTGCGTACAGTGCATGATTGCATGTGGTCCGCATCCATTCTCGTTTCTTGAACGCAAAATTTTCATTCCAAAGTTCTTCAAAACAACGGCTACCTCACTCATTCTTCAAATTGTCATAAATTTTTGAGCTAAGATAAAATCTCACTAACAAGAGGAACGCACTGAATTCATTCAAGCAGCACGTGCACTAAATATCTAAAGCCATGCAAAAGTCTAGGCAGTTCTGAGCAAAACCATTCAGCAGCAACCATTAGATTAAGCAAAAAATAAACTCAAATAGCTGACTAAATAAACGTCATTCACAATAAAACATGAGATCGGCACTTAATCTGTATATCCCACTAGCTGCTAACGAATCAACCACAATACTTGATCATTACTCGAATTATGGTACTAACATAATAAATTACTTCATTTTGCTCTTCGGCCAGTTTCATCACATCGAATATTCGGAATGCAACTTGGAATAAATCCTTCCACCATTCATCTTTGAATTCATTGCCGTACGTTTTCATTATTTCGAACATTACCGTCAAACTCCTGAAAGCATATGGGCAATAATCACTTGCATAATGCAGACAATACCGTGCATCGAATGACTGCCGATTGCTTCGCAACAAGTCTGAACTATCTTTCGGGCCATAGTTCTTTCCAGAACCTAACAAATGGCCCAATACCGACCACCGCATCAATATGCTTGACTATACATTGACTCGTAAGCAAAAATGATAACATCAAATGAAGATTTTTCACACAGACTGAATATCCATCCACCTAATATGACAGGAAAAAAGATCTAATGAAATGAGCCACCAAATCTTCAAGCAATTTTACGAAAACAACTATGAATTGAGATAAACAACAGAAGAGATAAACACACAAATAATGATCGATTCATTCACATCCCAAACAGCACAATTCACTCATCTTGACAATAATTCCAACGACAAAAGATCACCTCGTTCTAACATCCAATTTGCATCGTCCAATAATACACGACAACTCGAACATAATCGGGAACCATCCCCTCAAGAAAATGCGTTGTGTATCTTGTATATTCATGCAGTCGTCCCATTGATGATCGATTATTAACTGTTGATTCTTTGATACGTATGTGGCACNCACAACCGTATCAGTCTTATTGCTTCCATTGAGATGTCGGGGAAATTTGAATTACACGCGAACTCTGAGAGGCATTTAATGGCATCTTGAAATGAATCTAGTGCGTTGCCAAATTCTTGCGCAAACACGGTCGCTGAAAATGCATCTTCTTCATTACTTTATATCTCATCAAAACAGCACTTTGACATATCGTCATTTACAGTTATGAGAATAATTCACTGATAAACTCAACAGAAAGAATAAAAGAACATCAGCCCACCAATAATATAGTTTGTAGTGGTGAACGCACTCTCGACAATGTCCTCATCAGTGCTACCAGCAGCCATCGTGAATACCGAAAAGACATTCTTCCATCCCGATATGATCTTATTCCAGTGACTATTAACCATATGCGTCATACACGCTACCACTAATTCACGACATTTCAACGACCTGAATCATTTGAATATTACCACTTTTATCTTCAAATACAACTGCCGCAATTCACGATGAGATGTTTGAAAAAATACAAAAGTATAAAAACTGAAGATTAAGAAAGTACAAACAAAAACTCAAAATATTAAGCAACGAGCAAAGTTAAAAAACGCAGTTCGTCAAATATGAACGCAAGCGATAAAATCACACACAAACCTGTTCTTATTCATAATAATTTCGAACGGTCTCAAGAAATCCTTCTGGAACCTAAAGTTCCGCAATTCGCCTCGTTCCAAGAATTTCATCGAAAGCTGTCGCAATGCGTCAACAGCAAAATGCGCGATCATTTCATTCGCATTCGAACCCGCCTTCAATTTGAAAGTTAAAATTTAAACTTCTTCACTCTGAATTCATTCACTTCATCAATATCCACAACTAACTCTAACTCAACAAAAAATATATGAATGAAACACCTCTAAAAATAAAAAACAACAAAAGCGAACCTTATTGAAATGTTCACCCAAAATTGCCCATATTCTTGACCACTGCAATCGAATTCTGCCCATATTGTAAAAAGATATCTCAACGATCTTCTGCAACATAAACATTCTCGGATTGCCAGCCGCTGACAACTCTTCCATTGATACTTGACACAGTGCACGCACAAACTGGCAAACTGCGTCACCGTCAAGTTTTGATGAGCCTTGGAAGATTCTGAAACGAATTATTTATAAATTTTTGATCCATTGCCATTTTCAATAGCGATATTCGGTGATAATAACGGTCAT